TCCTCCCAGCCACTTAGATCTACGGCTTTGTGAAGTGAAGCCCCTTTGGCAACCCCAGCGTTTGCAGACCTTTCTAGGAACAGCACCAGGATTTCCCGGTGGGCCCACTTTTCCAGGGTGTGGTCCTGAATTAGTAGCATCCACATCACTGGGATGCTTGTTCAAAGCGCAGACCTTTGGCCCACTCCAGAACTAGTGAGTTCTCATGCCAGGGGCAGGGCCTCGCAACCTGTGTTTTCACAAGGCCCCAGGTTCTGCTGAGGCTTCCCAAGGTTTGCAAGCCACTGCCAGTCACACACGCAGACGGCTGTGGCCAGGGAAGGCACAAGAACCAGGGAAAGTCTTAGGTTCTCCTCTCCATTGAAATTGCTCAGTTGGGGACCCCAGGGGCCACACCTGCTGCTACCTGGGGAGCGTCTGCCTGGGAGGAAACAGCAGAGGACAGCAGCAGGGCCAAGAGATGGACAGCTTTGCAGTTTCTCTGCCTGAGCACCTGGAGCAAGGGGCTCTGAATTCGGAGTCTGTTCCCAGTTAGTCCCTTTTTGCCAGGCATAAACTGGTGAGCTGAGTTCTTGACTCTCAGCCATCAAAAAAACGCTTATTAATGCAGGAGGGGGAAGAGGCGAATTCTGGAAGAGACATTCTGTCAAGTTTGGCAAATCCTCAGAAGTTACAGTTGTAGAAAAAGGAATGGTCCCTCAGTGTCCCAGGGCCATTCAGTGGCACAAGCCAGGTCAAGGTGAACATGAAGGAGCCCCAGGGCGGAACTGGAGACCGGTGCAGGTGACTTTATCCGGATCTTAGCCCTCTCACTAAGTTCCTGTGTAGACAAACGTGGGCTTCAGAATGGGGCAGCAGACTCACGTCTGCACAGTCCCCTGAAGTGACTTTAATGACAGGAACTTACACAGCGCGGGTGGTTTTGCCCATGGTTCCTCAGTAGGCGTGTCCCAGGGTGGGAAAGAGAAGGCAGCCCTAGCGCCCCTGACCGCTCCTGTGCCAGGTCAGAGTCTAGTACAGACATTGGGATTTGGCAACTACCACAGCGCTTGGGGCGGGTGTTGGAGGCATCAGTTAAGAGGCGACTTTCCATAAAGGAGCGCCTGGTTTGGGTCCCAGCTCCTCCACTCCTGAGTCCAGCTTCTTCCTCCTAATGCACGCCCAGGAGGCAGCAGGTGTGGATCAAGTACTTGGGTCCCTGACACCCACGTGGGAGACAAGAATGGAGTTTCTGGCTTCTGGCTTTAACCCAGTCCAGCCCCGGCTATTGCACACATTTGTTTAGTAAACCAGGATCCCTCTGTGTTTCCTCCTCTCTCCCTCCCACCTCTGTATGGTGTGCCTCTGCCTTGCAAATAAAAATTTTTTAAATTTAAAATAAAATAAACAAACATGACCCTTTAAGTCAAGCTGACTCCATGAGGTGCTCAAAGGAAGAACAATGCGTCCCAACACCATACACGGTGTGATGAAGCCTTAGAGGTGGAAGGAGACGGAGGATCTCTTTACTGACTTTGGAACCTTTAAGTCAGGTTAATTTATACCAGTTGAACTATTAAGTTGGGTTGATTTGGTTATTTTTAATCTGAAATGAACGTCTAGAAGTTCTGTTGGATATAGATATAAAGGCTTATCAAATTTGAGTGCAGTGCACAGCTGGGACATACAACCAAAATGTCACTCAATGATGAGGATTCCAAAAAACCAGAACAGCTTCTAAAGACGGACCAAAACAAGCATGAGAACATTCAGTTATAGGCAGAGTTCAGAGTCTGGGTTAAAAAAAAAAAAAAAATCAGCAGTGCAAGGTCGGGATGAGAAGATTTAACATAATTGCGGTTTATATGGAGAGGACTCCCTGGGTTCACACAAACGCACTGCGCAGGGAGGAGGATCTAGGACAAAGGCGGGCAGCAAAGCAAAGTGCCCAGCGAGACCACGCCCAGACTTTTGTGTTCCATAGTGGGTGTCTCCAGAACTGGACGACGAAGACGCTGAGGGATTGCAGATTCCCGCTCCAGGAAGAACAGCCCAGGGACCGAGCTGTTCCTCTTAGGTGGGAAAGGAGACTTGGAACACAACGGAGATCTTGAAATCCCCCCCGGGGGTCGCACAGAAGGGGGATTACGGTTGCACAGGGGGCTCCAGGGTGCCAGACACGACCGGATGTGTAGAAGCAGCTAGGTAACGGAAGGTGGACCCAGCCCAGAACGAGACCGCTTTCATGGCTAGAGCGCTCCAAATATGGAACAGACTGCCTTTCGCAGTCCCCACTGTACAGGCTTGGAGAGCTGGCCGGGCCTCTTTTGCAAGTCACTCTTCTCTGCTGGTTTTTTCTGTCTGATGAGCTTTTCAAACCAGCCTTTTACCCGTTGCCCTCTTTTTATTAATGCCTTTGAAGTTCTAGGAGCGAATCGTCCATCTCTCTGAACCACAATCTCCCTTCTTCTTTCCCACTCTCTGTCCTCAATTGAAAATGTCTATAATTTTTCCTGGAAAATGGAGTTGCTGAAACCCATTCTTATTTTTTAAAAAAATCTCATTAGCAAGATGCAAGTATAACTCAGTGGGTAAAATAAATTGAGCACAAGCTTATTTCTATACTGGAAAAAAAAATCCTACCTTTGGGAGGCTGTGTTTATGATAAATTTTGGTGACCAATAAACAAGTTGCAGAAACACCAACAGGTGGAGTTGCTGTGAGCCAGTAATGGGCTAAAATCGCACTGTTTCTGTTTCAGGGAGTATTCCAGCCTCCAGTAAGCAGGCAGCTTGCAAAGAACAGGGTGGGGAAGGGAGGGCACCATCGGGAGCTTGCACCTGACAGCCCATCACTCTGTCCAGCTGTGTTTCTGTCTGTTTATTTTAAACCTGTTGGCTTTCACAGCCATTCTCATGAGGTGCTCCGGTTTACCTGAGAACTAGGAAATTAGTTCGCTGGGGCCCTTTGGTGGGTCAGGGCCTCTGCAAGTCAGCCAGTGACACGGGGAATGCTGGGTCTCTCTTATTTATTCAAACAGGTGCTCAATAAATGATGCGCCAGGGACTTTTTTTTATGTTTATTTATCTATTTTAGATTGACAGAAAAAGAGAGAGTGCCTCCATCCGTTGGTTCACTCTCCAAATGCCTGCAAGAGGCAGGGCTGAGCTGGCGAGGGCCGTCCTGTGCTACCTCCTGGAAAGCAAGAGCAGGAAGCTGGATCAGAAGTGGAGAAGCTGGGACTCGCGCCAGGCACCCAGATACGGGATGTGGGAGTCCCAAGGGGGTGTTTCGCCTGCCGCTCTTGGACCGTTCTTCGGGAAAGAAAGACAAGCCCTTGTTCTGCTGGCGCTCGGATCCCACGGCTCCAGGAGACGCTGGACGCTCACAGCAAACTGCTAAACAAAAACAGAGCATCAGGAACAAGGGCGGCCAAGGGAATGAAAGGGAACCGTGTGATAGAGGGTGGAGCGGGAGAGGGAAGCAGCTAGACAGCAGCAGAGACCTCGGAGGAGGGGACCTGGGAGGGAGATCTGAAGGCTAAGGTGCACGAGGCAGGCGCAGATCTCAGGGAAGAACTTTCCATCGCCGCTCCGGCACCTGACTGCGGGAGAGGCGCTCCCACCTCACGCTGCACCACGCGGCAGGTAGTTTCCGGCTGGGGAGGTGGCATCCCCCTGCCTCCAGTGCCTCCGTGGGCTCGGGGAGAGAGCAGGTGAGGCAGCAGAAGCGGCCAGCAGCCGGTCTGAAGGGGAGGACCCAGGCCCTCCACTACCACCCCCGCCAGGCAGGCAGCCCCTGTCCTTTCGGAAGAGGCCGGACCCAGCCCGCGGCCAGCTCTCTGGTGACTGCCAGGCACCAGAATTCGCTTGTTTGTTTCGTGTAGGGTTCTCTCGGTCCTTTGCCAAGTATCAATCAAAACTGCATGCCAGCCTCCACTCCTTGGAAATAATTAAATGACATGACGTGCCTGAGGTTTTTTTTTTTTTTTTTTTTCTTCCTGCACTGCGATTTGCATCAGCTGAAGACATTTCTCTTTGGTCCTGAGGCTGAGCCTTTGGGGACAGTTAGGGCGACTTCTTTTGCTCTGCGTTGGTTCACGCGGCGTGCATGTTGTCCTAGCGCCAAACACACGAGGGGAGCAAGTGCCTCATTCTGTAGCCTACTCCCCTAAGAAAGCTGCTCGTTCGTGATTCGCAAAGAATCCCCTTCCCCTGATAAGCAGCGTTTAACGCATCGATGTCGGCCAAGTCCCCCTAATTCTGCTGCGACCGGGCTTTGTGCAGACCTCGCGAGCAGCTAAGGGAGGGGCTCGGGGGTGAAGTCCCTTCTTCCCCTACGGGGGGACGTGGGAGTCTCCTCCCGCGCGCAGCCCCGCGCGCTGCGGAAAACCGAAGTCACACCGGCTTCCTCCCCGAGCGGGGTTCCCTCAGCCGCGGCTCCGAGCCCGCGGGGGCAAGCCGGGCCGGCGCGCGCGGGAGCCCTCGGCTGCGGGTGTGGGATGCGGCGTTCCCAGGGTGGCCGCTGAGGGGTTCTGGCCGCGTGGGCTGGGGACTGCGGAATCCCCGCCCGCGGGGGGCTCTGGAGGACGCCGAGCGCGCGCGGACAGCGGGGGTACGCGCCAAGGACACCGGCCGGGCGCGCTCAGGGGGCGCCCCGTGAGGACTGCGTGCCCGCACAGACCCCCCTGAGGACAGGCAGGGCCCTCGGGGCCGCGGAGTGCAGGGAGCCCACCGCGCGCCCACCACGCGCATCCGCGGGCGCGCGTGGCGGTAGACCCGCACCGGGCGAAGGGCGCCGAGCGCTCGCCCTCCGCCGAGCCCCCCGGGGCCGCAGCGCCCACTGCGCGGGCGCGGCGCGCGCGGCCTCGATCCGGGTTCCTGGGGGCGGTGCGCGGGAGGGGGCGGGGCCTGCGCGGCGGCGTGGGCGCGAGGCGCGCGCGAGGGAGGGCGCCGGGGGGAGGGGGCGGGGCCGCGCCGCCCGCGCCGCGCTGGGCGCTCTCGGCCAATGAGCGGCGTCCACATGCCGCGGCAGCGGCGAGAGGGGAGGCAGCGGCCGATAAATGCTATTAGAGCAGCCGCCGCGGAGCCGTCCCCGACGCCGCCGCCTCCTGCTCCGCCGCAGTTTCCTCCGCCGCTGCCGGGGGTGCGGAGCTGAGGGACCCGGGCGAGCGCGCCGCTCGCCGCCCCGCCGGCTCGCCGCCTTCGCTCCGCTGCGCCCTCAGGGGTCGGCCGGGCGCCCCCTCCTCCGGCCCGGCCGGGGCCGCGAGCCGCCGCAGGACAGCGGGGAGGGGGCCGGGGGCCGCGGCCTGCGCTCCCTGCGGGCGGTTGAGGGCGAAGGAGGCCCTCCCTTCTGACGAGGGAAGGGGAGGGTCGGGAGCCCCCCGCCCGCCCTGCGGAGCCCGGGCGGCCCGAGGGCGGTTGTCTGGGGGAGGGGGTGCGGGGTGATTCAGCGCCCGGCGAGGCGGAAGCGGCCGGAGCGGCAGCGGCGGCAGCGGGAGGAGGGCGAGCGGCCAGTCGGCGCCGGGGCGCCCGCGGTGGCACGAGCCCGCGGCCCGAGTGCGAGGCGGAGGCGACGAGGCCGCGGGGACGGGGGGCGAAGCCGGCCGGGCCCCCGCAGCCATGGAGAACGCGCACACAAAGACGGTGGAGGAGGTGCTGGGCCACTTCGGCGTCAACGAGAGCACGGGGCTGAGCCTGGAGCAGGTCAAGAAGCTCAAGGAGAGATGGGGCTCCAACGGTAGGTGCCCGGCGCCGGGGGCTGCAGGGGACCCCCGCGCGGCGCGGCGCGGCGCGGCGCCGGTCCGAGAGCCAGGGAAGATGGCTGACCGGGCTCCACCTCGTGGGTCTCGGCTCGGCGCCCGCCGACGGCTGCAGGCGGCGGCGGCGGCGCGGGGCCCGCGGGCGAGGGGCTGCCAGCGGCGGGCCCCGGGCTCGGGGGTCCGGGGTCGAGCCCCGGCGCTGCGCGGCCTCCTCGCGGGTCGAGCCCTTGACCTTCCGGGCGCGCCGCCTGCGCGGCAGCCTCCCCCTGTGGAGGCTGAGGCGCGTCTCCCGCAGCTGCGCGGGGCCCTGCGAGACGTCTCCCCGTCCCCAGCCGATTTATGAGGCGTCGGTGTGGTGGAGGAGCCACCCAGAGTTACACATCTGGCGGGGTGATGACATAGCTGAAAGGCCGGCTCCTCCTCTCGGGAGCCCTGAATGAGCTTGCGCTTGGGTTAGACCCGAGTTCATTGATGAGGAGCAGGGCAGGTGTCCTGGGGGTACCAGTACGCGCTCGGGATGTTAAAAAAAAAAAAAAGTTCCCGTAGCTAGGTCTTTCAGACACGTTGATACATGTAGTCTTTGCAGTTTTTAGAAAGACAATACTAATTTTTTTTTTTTCTGTTTCCTGCCTCTTAACGTTGCCTGGTGAATTTCAACATTATCCAGAGTTACCGGCTGAAGAAGGTAGGTCATCTTAACGTGTCCTGTTCTTTGCTTTCGTGTGTGTGTGTGTGTGTGTGTGTGTGGCGGTGTGTGCGCATGTTAAGATGACACTTAATGACAAATATGTTTGTTTCCAACAGGAAAAACCTTGCTGGAACTTGTGATTGAGCAATTTGAAGATTTACTAGTTAGAATTTTATTGCTGGCAGCATGTATATCTTTTGTAAGTACAGAAAAATTTGTTTTCTTTCCTCCAAAAGCTGAAAATACTCCATAGGTAAACCAGAAAGCCAACGATGTCCATGCAGTGAAAACATTTGGAGATTTAAGCTGAGTCTCCATGTTTTAAAAACAAATTAAACAACCCAGGTATTTTAAAATTACAAACAGGCCACATGAATTCATTTGTGTTCAGAAAATAGATGGCTGACATTTACAGGGCCGTTAGAAATCATTCCCCCAGTGCGCCAGAGTCTCATAAATTCTTGTGGTATCAGAAAGTTCTTCGTTGGTTCGGAGGCCTTCTCTGTTTTGGGTTCTTCTCTTTGCTATCATGTTATAAGATCACACTGAGGTGATGTTGGCTCTTTATACTCTGTAAATAGAACTTACCAAAGGAATATTCCAGTTGCTTTCCCTTCCTGGTAATGGCAAGGTGACAATTGTTCCTGACAGTGACAAGAATGATGACGGCAGTGATGGCACCACTGTTGACCAAATTTGGTCACTGACCTTTAGTTAGGTGGTATCTTTATCTAGACCCCTGTCTTGAGTGATTCCTAGGTTGATAAGACAAGATTCAGGACGATTTGTTCTAAGTCTTAAAAAGAAAGGCAGGATTTTTTTTTTCTGGTTCTGTATATGCTTACCCACTTAGGTCCTGTATGGTTGCTAAGAAACTAGTGAAATGCAAAGAACTGCAGCAGAAAAAAGGTGATGAGGGAGGGCAAGAATATTTCTACGTTATTAACTTTTTTCTTGCTTAGTATTTTTATTGCATTTTTTTGTGGGTAGTAGAACTCTGGGTAGTTTTCCTAAAAATGGTCAAGACTAGGACACAGATGTTCTTAATCCTAACAGCATGAGACATCTTTTGATCTTAAATTACAGTATTTTATTCTTAATCCATGATGGGAAGTGAAATTCACTCAAGTGCAGTACTTTCAAGTTTTGCAAATGGCACTGTTTCAAGGTTACATTTTTGTGCATTTGGGTGTATGCAGGTCCCAGGATTCTACCTAAGTTTTTATGGCAACATACCAAAGAAGACTATTTTGAGAACTAAACAAACCAAGCAGTGGGCATTTAATTCAGGCAAAAGATGAATTTTATACTCATCTTTGAAGCAGATAGAAGCAGCAAGAGATGAACTTTGCAGTAATTCTGTGCATCCATTTTATCATGAGGTTTTGATGCTGTGTAGCCACATAGTATGTAGTTAATAATTCAGTCCTCAGTCTTCTCTGTGGTTTTCATTGAGTAAAACATTGTCCTAGCAGGCCATTCAGCATACTCAATCACTCCATACCTCTTAAGTGTCTTTCTGTGATTAATTAAAAAAAATTTTCCCCCTAGCAAATGTCTGTTGTTAAGATAAATGAATAGAGCTGTTTGATTAACTGTAGTTTCAATATAGTGCAGGGGAGAGGCAGAGTGAATGATACATTTGGAGATAGTATAAGATTTAAGTTAACCTGGCCACATAATTCTGAAATAGTCTTTGTTTTGGCAGTTAAAATCCAAAGTGATCGGTGACCTTCAAAGTTAGTATATACAACCCAAAGGTAGAACTGCTATATGCAGACCAGAGGCAAAACAGTTTTTACTGAATTATTTGGTGTGATAACTTGAAGCAGTGTTGGAAATGATACCCGTGATGTTACAATAGCAAGCTGTTGGCTCTTTGGGTTGAATAGGGTGTCTATTTCAGTGGCTAATTTGACTGGGACTTTTTATTAGCATGTAGAATTAATGTTGTGTGTAAGTGATGAGTTTGCAGTTTCTTGATATTTTCAAATGGGTTTTAAAATAAATTCTTTGAGTTTGTTGTACGGTAGGACCTTGCCACATAGCTTTAGAGCTGTATCTTGGAGTGGGACTTTTAGTTCCTTTTTGGTAACTTCCAAGAAGTGAACTATGTTAAAATGTTTGTGTTGTGGGTGACTAAATAGCAAAAGAATGGTTTTAGAAAGTACTTTTGCTATAGAATTCACTTAATTTGGTTTGTTTGATCAAGAAATAGTGGATATAGAACCTGTTTTGTTGATTGACTTCCTGTGGTGTTGGCACTGCTGCTACATTGCACTTGACCTTTTCATTCTTCATTTCTTTATCTTTCAAAAAAGAGTACAGAGTCTTTTGTCGTAGTTTATTCGTATTGTCTTAACAGGAAAGACATGATTGAATGAAGGAGTTCTTCTGGAGAATGGAATAGGCAATTCTAACAGTCTATACGTAATACATCATCAGATAATGCTCTTAAAAAGGGTGTTAGTGATATAGTTCAAGTATCAAACTAAGTAGTAAACTGTTAACAATAGTTAATATTTTGCTGTGACAGAATGTAAGAAATTGCATTAATACTTGACACTAGAGATCCATAGGGATAAAGCTTAATTGATTTGCAATGTTTATCAAAAAAAAAAAGGTCACTTGAATTGGAAGAGGGAAGCATATGGACATGATAAATCCCTTAATTTGACATTCAAGACCCTCTGTTATTTCACTCTTATCTTTCATCCTCTCCTTGGTTACCCTCTTCACCCTACATTTAACACATTCTGTGGTTTAATTGAAATGCCTGCCTTGCTCATTCCTTTTTTTTTTTTTTAAGATTTATTTATTTGAAGGGCAGAGAGAGAGGTCTTCCATCTGCTGGTTCAGTTTCCAGCGGGCCACAATGGCCAGAGTTGTGCCAGTCCAAAGCCAGGAGTTTCTTCCGGGTCTCCCACGCGGATGCAGGGACCCAAGCGCTTGGGCCATTTTCCTCTGCTATCCCAGGCCATAAGCAGAGAGCTGGATTGGAAGTGGAGCAGCCGGGACTTGAACCGGTGCCCACATGAGATGCCAGCACCACCCGCTGTGCACAGTGCTGGCCCCTCCTTCCTCTTTCACTGCTTCCTTTATTTATTGAGCACCAATGACAATAGTGATAGAGTGTTGAATAAAATGGACAGAAATCCCTTACTTGGAGGATAGTGCTGTTGAGAAAAATAAAGCCGGGGGGCCTAAATAAGGTTCTATGGGGAGAGGAGTGTGCTTTTCAAATAGGCTGGACAGGAAAGCCTAAGACAGTGACATTTAAGAAAAGACCTAAAGGAGGTGAGGCCTGGGGCGTGTTGATCTCAGTTGCATCTGTCTAAATCATAAAACCTTCTCTCAACAATTGCATAACTTTTTATACCCTCCACTGCTATTTCCACCTCAACTACTTAATTGACTAAAATGCTACTAAAACTTTCCAGGCTGGTGCTCCTCTCAGCTTTCCAGTTGTATCTTTCTGGTTTGTGAATGTGTCCTCTTCTTCCTGTTTGGCCTCTTGGAAAGGGTTCTTAATTCTTCTTAGGCAGTGTTAGTACTTTTTTTTTTTTTTTTTTTTTTGGACAGGCAGAGTGGACAGTGAGAGAGAGAGACAGAGAAAGGTCTTCCTTTGCCGTTGGTTCACCCTCCAATGGCCGCCGTTACAGCCGGCGCACCGCGCTGATCCGATGGCAGGAGCCAGGATCCAGGTGCTTTTCCTGGTCTCCCATGGGGTGCAGGGCCCAAGCACCTGGGCCATCCTCCACTGCACTCCCTGGCCATAGCAGAGAGCTAGCCTGGAAGAGGGGCAACCGGGACAGAATCCGTGCCCCAACCAGGACTAGAACCCTGCGTGCCGGCGCCGCAAGGTGGAGGATTAGCCTATTGAGCCACGGCGCCGGCCAGTGTTAGTACTTTTGATACCACAGATGTTCATGTGAGTTTGTTTTGGGAGCACTTTAAAAATATTTGGAATCTGTTGACGTTGATTTTCTCAAAACAATATATTAAACATTTGAAATTCAGTAGTGATTGAAATTTTTTTTCTCATTTCTTTTCAATTATTTTTAAAATGGGCCATATACCGATTGGTTTAAAAAAATTTTTTTTTGAGGATTTTATTTATTTGAGAGGTGGAGTTACAAAGAGAGAGAAAGAGAAAAAGGTCTTCCATCCACTGGTTTACTCCCCAAATGGCTGCAACAGCCAGGGCTGAGCCTGGCTGAAGCCAGGAGCTTCCTCCGGTCTCCCACTTGGGTCAGAGGCCCAAGCAAGCCATCTTCCACTGCTTTCTCAGGCCATAAGCAGAGAGCTGGTTCAGAGGAGGAGCAGCTGGTATGTGCGCCAGCGACACAGATGGAGGCTTAGCCTACTAAGCCACAGCGTGGCCCTGAAGAATTTTTTTTGTGAACGTTCTATCCCGATCAGAAGAAAATGAGCCAGTGCAGTGGCATAGTGGGTAAAACTGCCGTCTGCAGTGCTAGCATCCCATGTGAGTACCAGTTTGAGTCCTGGGTGCTCCACTTCTGATCCAGCTCACTGATAATGCCTGGGAAACCCGTGGAAAATGGCCCAAGTCCTTGGGCCCCTGCACCCGTGTGGGAGACCTGGAAGAAGCTCCTGGTTCCCGGCTTCAGTTTGGCCTAGTTCCGGTTGTTGTGGCCATTTGGGAAGTGAACCAGCAGATCTCTCTCTCTCTCTCTCTCTCGATCTCTCGATCTCTCTCTCGATCTCTCTGCTTTTAGTGCCTTTTGTGTGTGTGTGGTTTTTTTTAATGACTTTATTTGCCATCCCAGAAAATAACCACACCACTTATTGGTGATCCTTTGTATCATTTTTGTAAAATTTTAATTTCCATTTCTTCTTTATTTTAAACTTTTTTTTAGAAATACAAATTTCATCTTTAGGAATATAGTTATTCCCACCATCCACGCCCTCCATCCACACTCCCACCCTTCCTTCTCGCTCTCCCCTTTTCCTCTCCTCCCAGTCTCATTCATTTCTTCTTTTTAAAAAAATTGTTAATCTAAATTTATTCTTTTATTGATCAAATGTTTTAGTGCCAAGGGAAGATTGTAAGTTTCTGAGGATACATGGAGGAGCAAAATGTGCTTGTGATCTCTTGTGTTTGCTTCTTAGGGTCTTGAATGCCCATTCCTGTGTATGGATATTTGAGTCACAGTATCGTTACAGTCTGCCAGTTTAGAGTGAATCATGTCTTTTTTCCTTGATCTAGAGTTTAATTTTATTTATTGTGCTTCCTGTCAGAAGTTAACAGTGTTGTGCAGAGATTAATTTTGTGAATAAAATTGGATCCTACCCTGTCTTACCAAATTTAAATTATAGTCGAGCGTTTGTTAGGAAGTGCTTTCTATTTTTTATTGGAAAGGTAGGGTGATAGAGATCTTCCATTTGTAGATTGACTCCTCAAATATCTGCAACAGCCGGGGGCCCAGAACTCAATCTAGTCTCCCATTTGGGCAACAGAGGGATAAGTGTTTGAGTCAGAGAAGGGATGTGGGGATCCCAAGTGACAGCTTAACCTGCTGTGCCACAGTGCCTAAGCCAAGTACTTACTGAAAAATTTTTGAGAGGTAGACACAGGGCAAGCCCACGGATACTTTTATTCCCCAGTACCTAGGGTTGGGCTGGAAGCCAGGAGCTCATTTCTGGTGGCAGGGACCCAATTGCTGAGCCTTCACTACTCCCTCCCAGAGTCTGCATTGGCAGGTAACTGGACTTAGGAGCCAGGGCTTGGAATTGAACCCAGGCATTCTCATGTGGGACGCCAAGGTCTTAACCTCTAGGCTAAACACTTGCTCTGCAAGTGGTTACTTTGAATAGCTTTGGCAGATTGGAAACTTTGAACTTGCTTGATAACTGAGCTCTCACAGAAGGTGGGTACTGCTACTGTATGTACAAAGTTCGAGGGAAGGTAGACAGGCTGTTGATGCCTGCAGTTACACTGTGGTAGCCTTTTCTTCTACTTGCCTTTGCCTTTGATTATGCAGTTGGTTACCTTTTTGCTGACTCAATGTTTTAAGTCTGTATACTGCCGTTTAGGGCCTTGTACTTTAAAGGTTGTGTGAGATTTTTTATTTATACATGTCTTTAATAGGTATTCAGCATCAGCTGGTGCCGTGGCTCACTTGGCTAATCCTCCGCCTGTGGCGCCGGCACCCTGGGTTCTAGTCCTGGTTGGGGCGCCGGATTCTGTCCCGGTTGCCCCTCTTCCAGTCCAGCTCTCTGCTGTGGCCAGGGAGTGCAGTGGAGGATGGCCCAAGTGCTTGGGCCCTGCACCCGCACGGGAGACCAGGAGGAAGCACCTGGCTCCTGGCTTCGGATTGGCCGGCGCGCTGGCCACTTGAGGGGTGAACCAATGGAAAAAGGAAGACCTTTCTCTCTCTCACTGTCTAACGCTGCCTGTAAAAAAAAAAAAAAGAAAGAAAAAAGTATTCAGCATCAACTATGTACAAGACTCTTCGGCCCCTACAATGCAACAGTGAATGAAAGGCTACAGCAGCATAATCCTTATATTCAGCATAGTCTCAGGATTTTTTAAATATTTCCTCTTTCTACATAAATATGTTTTTATACAGTAAACCTTACTTATGTACTGAGCTTATTTATTACCATGCTAATAAGACATCTTGCACTTAAGTGGTAATTTCACTAATCGAATTTTCTTCCCTTTTCCCCTCTCATTTTTCCCATCTCAGTGGAGTTTTTGGTCATGTAATCTGCCTGTCTATACCACCCATGTTCTGTTAAGATTTATTGTGTTGAGTGTTTTTCAGGAGAAAAAAGCAAAGAAGGTACAACATGGTCTCAACATGATTGGTTGGATTTGTTATTAGTTATTTAAATATGGTTCATCTTCATTTTGGAGTGTAGCATTTAGTTCTCTGGCTATTTATGGTTTTGAAGTATGCATTTTAAAGTATTCAGGAAACAGGTGGCTGTTAATTGAAAGGTTTGGGCACTATCTTATCAGGAGATTTACCCACTAGTTTCTTTTTTTTATTTTTTTTAAATTTTTTTATTTTGACAGGCAGAGTGGACAGTGAGAGAGAGAGAGAGAGACAGAGAGAAAGGTCTTCCTTTGCCATTGGTTCACCCTCCAATGGCCGCTGCAGCCGGCGCACCACGCTGATCCGATGGCAGGAGCCAGGTACTTATCCTGGTCTCCCATGGGGTGCAGGGCCCAAGGACTTGGGCCATCCTCCACTGCACTCCCTGGCCACAGCAGAGAGCTGGCCTGGAAGAGGGGCAACCGGGACAGAATCCGGTGCCCCGACCGGGACTAGAACCCGGTGTGCCGGCGCCGCAAGGTGGAGGATTAGCCTAGTGAGCCCAGGCGCCGGGGCCCCACTAGTTTCTTATCAAGCACTAATTAATGTATCTGTAGAAGCTTCAATTAACAATATGAATGCCTGTGTTTCCTACATGTGAATAGTTAAGGTCATTGTAGCAGAAAAGGTACTGCCTTGTCCAGATTAGCTCTTACATCATTGATAAATACCACTTGTGAAAAAGAACTGCACACTGGAAAATTGGAGGTTTGCTCCTGTCCTGTTGCAGCTTGTGGTAGGCTTCCTCCGGCTATTACCAGGATGTTGCGTTAAGTTTGTCCCCCAGGCTTGGCTGCCAAGAGGGAAATTCATAGCTGCCTTAACAAGGTGTGAAGCTTATCTTACACTTGCTAATGCCTCACTGACCTTTTGGAAAGGCCCTAGTTACTTTTCAAGTTGAGCAATTTTTCTCTCCTAAGAGCTAATTAAGTTTCTTATTTCTGATATGCTCTCCTTGGCAAGTGTTTAAAAGGTTAGTATCAGAGCAGCTGTGATCCTATGTCCATCAAAATTTATAACTTCCTAGAAAAGTTTTCTTTCTGGCATTAGGCCTGGCCTTAACACTAGGAGTGCCCTGGTGAAAGCTTGCAGCAGCATTTATCACATTCGTTCTGGTTTTCTGCCTGCCCTGGTTCACTGCTGTCAGTGGCAGTTGGCATCTGTCAGGACCTGGTTTGGCTGTCCCCCTCCCCCGCCCTGCTCAAATTGATATTTCTTGTTAATTTGTTGCTGCTCCTTTCACTTGAAAAATTCATGTTAGCACTTGGCCTTCATCATCTTTCTGTTCATTTGCTATTTGTGTAAAAACTCATAGTATTGTAAGCACAAATGTTGTCAGATGTTTTCACTAGAATCATAAATCATCAGGAAGAGTGCTTCCATTGTTTCCTAAATACTAGATCATTTGAAGAAAAGATTTGGTTATAAAATAAGCACATTTTAAACAATGTTTGCAATGTTTTAAGAGTGGAAAGCAGATCCCACCTCCTGAATCGAATGATTAGAGATGTTCGGCATTCTTCTTGACTTGGTGGGATTCCGCAGAAATCTAGTGGCGGTTGGCATCTCTCAAGGTTCTTGGTCCTGGTTAAATTTTTAGCCATTTAGATTATTCTTTACCTTGTTCCTTATCATGAAGATTTGTTGTATTGTTCTGTTCTGCCACCTTTATTACTGCTTGCATATAAAATACAGTGGGCTCTTGAGTTTTTAACCCTAAGGTTATGGTTGTATGAGCTAAAAGTGTAATTCTCTTGAGTCAGCATTGTATCCAGTTGAAGCTTTGTTGGACATGAGTCGTTTCTGAAAAGGGTATGTAGCTGTTGGATGTCATGGAAGCTGACCTTCTTGATTTCAGGACACTTCAGTAATTCTGAGATGAACTTCAGGGTTACCACTGAAAAGATGTGGGAGATGTTACTTTACTTTAAAATTTGAGCTGGGGTGGGCATTTGGCCTGCCTGTTTAGAATGCCTGCGTCCCATATTTAAGTTACTGAGTTGGATACTTGGCTCTGACTTCTGATTCCAGCCTTCTGCCAGTGCAGACCCCGAGAGGGAACAGATCATGGCTCCCTGCTCCCTGCTGCCCACTTAGACCTGGATTGATTTTCAGGCTCTGATCTTCAGCCTGGCAAAGTCCTAGGCCATTTTGGGCCTTGGAGGGTGAGTCAGCAGCAGGAGCACTTCCTGTCTTTGTGAGAGGGAAGGGTCTGTATGACTCTTCCTCCCTCTGTCCCTCTTTGCAATAAATTTAAGAAATTGACTCAGTGACCAAATTGATTTGACTATGAATTTATTCTGTATATTCTTTTTTTTTTTTTTTTGACAGGCAGAGTGGACAGTGAGAGAGAGAGACAGAGAGAAAGGTCTTCCTTTGCCGTTGGTTCACCCTCCAATGGCCGCCGCGGCCGGCGCGCTGCGGCCGGCGCACCGCGCTGATCCGATGGCAGGAGCCAGGAGCCAGGTGCTTTTCCTGGTCTCCCATGGGGTGCAGGGCCCAAGCACCTGGGCCATCCTCCACTGCACTCCCTGGCCACAGCAGAGAGCTGGCCTGGAAGAGGGGCAACCGGGACAGAATCCGGCGCCCCGACCGGGACTAGAACCCGGTGTGCCGGCGCCGCTAGGCAGAGGATTAGCCTAGTGAGCCGCGGCGCCGGCCTATTCTGTATATTCTTATTTGATGTGAACGTTAACCAAATCAACAAGGCTGTTGATGACTGCCTTTTATTTTAATAAAACCAGGAATTTAATAATTAATATATATGGAATTATGAATGAGAAGCATCTATAATTTTATATATATATATAGGATATTGTAAATGAGAAGCATATGTTTGACTCCCCAGAATTACTGTGAATGGGACATAAGCTGGTTGTTTATGTATTACATTTTTCCACGATTTGTTCTAGAGAAGGTAAGAAAAGAGGTCTTGTCTGTATCATAGATCCTTTACAGCCAGAACTAAGTCTAAAAACACTAAGCCTAAAAACACATTAACGATTCTAATGTGCTATTTCTCCTTTAGGTTTTGGCTTGGTTTGAAGAAGGTGAAGAAACCATTACAGCCTTTGTAGAACCTTTTGTAATTCTGCTTATATTGGTAGCCAATGCCATCGTGGGTGTATGGCAGGTAAGCAGAAATTTATGCAAGTGTTTTAGTTGCATTAATCTCTCTGTTATTTGTTTCGCCTGATGTGTTTAGTAAAAATATGCCTGTGAAACATCTATGTGTATTTTTTCTTTTGTCCATTTAATGACAAAATTTTAGACCTCTCATACATGTATATTTGGCGGATAAAATTGTTCATTCTTCATAGTAGCAAGGACTTTAAGAGAAGCTACTTCAGGAAACCAGAAAATGGGAGAACTATTCAGTGTCTTTATCTTTTTTTTTTTTTTTTTTTTTTTTTTTTAAGATTTATTGATCTCATTTGAAAGGTAGAATTAGAGAGGGAGGGAGAGATCTTCCATCTGCTGGTTCACCCCCCAAATGGCTGCAACGGCTAGAGCTGGGCCGATTGAAAGCCAGGAGCCAGGAGCTACCACATGGGTGCAGGGGCCCAAGCACTTGAGCCATCTTCCACTGCTTTCCCATTTGCATTGGCAGGAAGCTGGATCAGAAGTAAAGCAGCTGGGACTTGATCCTGCGCCCGTATGGGGCACATCACAGGCAGTGGCTTAACCTTATATGTCACAGCACCGGCCCCCTAATATGTCAGTTTTATTTTATTTATTTTATTTTTTTAAAGATTTATTTTATTTATTTGAAAGAGTTACAGAGAGAGGTAGAGATAGAGAAGTCTTCCATCCACTGGTTCACTCCCCAATTGGCTGCAATAGCCGGAGCTGTGCTGATCTGAAGCCAGGAGCCAAGAGCTTCTTCCAGGTCTCCCACGCAGGTGCAGGGGCCCAAGGACTTGGGCCATCTTCTACTGCTTTCTCAGGCCATAGCAGAGAGCTGGATCAGAAGAGGAGCAGCCAGGACTAGAACCTGGGCCCATATGGGATGCCGGTGCTTCAGGCCAGGGCCTTAACCCACTGTGCCACAGCGCCAGCCCCCAGTTTTAAATATTATTGTTTTAGGTTTATAATGGATGTAGTCATCCCTTTGAAGATTGCATAGTGTACCTACCATTCTTATAGTAGACACATTATAAATATACTTAGTCCTGTTGCAATTATTATAAACTGGTATCTCTGTGATACAGGAAGATCTTCATGTGATGTGCTCATAGAAAGATGGACTACTTATAAGAACTTTGAACTGGTATCTTCCTCTTCTCATTTTTTGTTTTTCTTTGGCATATTTATACTAAAGTAGAAATTATCCTTTTGTGAATAATTTAGTCAAAAGAAATAGTCATAACAACAGGTTTGTCCTTTTTTTTCTTTTTAAGATTTTTATTTATTTGAGAGGTAGAGTTACAGACAGTGAGAGGGAGAGACAGAAAGGTCTTCCATCCACTGGTTCATTCCCCAAAAAATGGCCGCAATGGCCAGAGCTGCACTGATCTGAAGCCAGGAGCCTGGAGCTTCTTTCAGGTCTCCTACGTGGGTGCAGGGTCCCAAGGACTCGGACCATCTTCCATACTTTCCCAGGCCATCTTCCATACTTTTCCAGGCCATAGCAGAGAGCTGGATGGTAAGAGGAGCAGCCGGGACTCGAACCCACTGCCAATATGGGATGCTGGTGCTGCAGGCAGAGGATTAACCTACTGCCAGCCCCTAGGTTTGTCCTGATTTTCAAGCTGCTAATGTGTATTTTTATTAAATGGTGTGTGACAGTTACTGTGGTAGATACTTAATGTATATATCCATTTATTTCATTTTTACGGTGCTCTTGTCAGATGACAAATGTGATGTTGAGTTTCAGAGTGGTTAAGTGACTTCTCAAAAGACCATTCAGGTGGTTGTAGATAATCAGGGATTAGAACCTGGGCCAAGGCTGAGCTGAATAAAATAAAATTGTATGACAGTTTTCACAAGACTTTGAGATCTGTCTTTAGTTTAAAAAAGAGTAACACAGCTCTCGGTTGTTTCCTGAGGTGCCATCCGTCTGTCAGGTGTGTGAGTGCATCCAGCTTGGCTAGTAAGCTTACTGCTTGAAAAAAGAGAATAGCGCTCTTCAGTCTTAATCCTTTTTCCGTGGTACACTGAGTGGTATGGGTGGTACTGGAGAGTTCTTGCCTTCTAGAAATTGGGGAAAATTACAGTGTTGGTTGATTTGAGAGGTTCATACCATTTCTCCCCAGTATCATCAAGGAAGGCTTCTTGGAGGTGGTAACCAGCAGTTGTGAACTGTATTATATGAAATTGTATGGGGAGATTATTCCAGAGAGGGAGTGGAATGAACAGAAGGTTGCCAGCCGTGTTTGAGGAATGACATTTCGGCCAGTCTGATTTGAGTAGGAGATACAGCTGAGATGGGGGGAGGCTTGTCACCTTTCAGAACTAGGAGAAATCTTAGACTTCCTTTTAAGTTTGCAATAAATTTTATAGTAAGTCCTTTTTTTTTTTTTTGTAGTAAGGTATATATTTGTGTTTCCCCAAATTTATCTGTTTCTGGTATAATCTATTTAAATCTGTGATTACTTTATTGCTTTTCCTCTTCTATATTCTAAATATTCCTTTGATAGATTGAATTAAATAGGGCCAGAGAGGCTGTTAAGTGATTCTAAGTGTCATCTTTGTCCTCCTTGGGGTATGAGATAATGTAGTTTTTTTTTTTTTTTTTTTTTTTTTTTTTGTAGTTGAAAAGCAGTTAAAAATCTTCCATACACTGGTTCACTCCCCAAATGGCTGCAATGGTCAGAACTGGGCCAGTCCAAAGCTAGGAGCTAGGTCTCCCACATGGGTGCAGCGGCCCAAGGACTTGGGCCATCTTGTGCTGCTTTCCCAGGAGCATTAGCATGCAGCTGGATTTGAACCAGCGCCCATGTGAGATGCTTAGCCCTCTACACCACAGTGCCGGTCCCAAGATAATGTAGTTTACATTTTTTAAAATGTATGCTTCTAATTTAAATATACCTTTGCTGGTTTGTAGTTGTAGTAATAGTAGAAGTTGGCCGGCGCCGCGGCTCACTAGGCTAATCCTCCGCCTTGCGGCGCCGGCACACCGGGTTCTAGTCCCGGTCGGGCCGCCGGATTCTGTCCCGGTTGTCCCTCTTCAGGCCAGCTTTCTGCTGTGGCCAGGGAGTGCAGTGGAGGATGGCCCAAGTGCTTGGGCCCTGCACCCCATGGGAGACCAGGATAAGTACCTGGCTCCTTTCATCAGATCAGCGCGGTGCACCGGCCGCAGCGCGCCAGCCGCGGCGGTCATTGGAGGGTGAACCAATGGCAAAGGAAGACCTTTCTCTCTGTCTCTCTCTCACTGTCCACTCTGCCTGTCAAAAAATAAAAAAATAAATAAAAATAAATTTAAGTAATAGTAGAAGAAGAATATAGTATTTTGGGTATATCTCCTTAACTTTGAGCAGTCCAGTCAAATCCTACCTGACATAACCTTGAAGATTGAGAAAAGGAAACAGAAAACAGCACCCATAATTCATAAATTCTAGGGGACTAATTCTCACTTTTTAAAAAAGCTTGTTTTAAATTTACTGTGTTTGGCAGTAATGCTCAAAATTTATTTTTCTCCAATTAAACTTAAATTTAAGGGACTTTTCTAATAGTGACATTCGTTTAAAAGATTTATTTATTTGAACGTCAGAGTTATGCAGAGACAGAGACAGAAAGAGGTCTTCCATCTGCTTGTTCACTCCCCGACTGGCCACAATGGCCGGAGCTGTGCCAATCCAAAGGCAGAAGCCAAGAGCTTTTTTCGGGTCTCCCACGTGGGTGCAGGGGCCCAAGGTCTTGGGCCATCTTCCACTGCTTTCCCAGGCCATAGCAGAGAGCTGGATTGGAAGCAGAGCAGCTGGGACTTGAACTGGTGCCCATATGGGATGCCGGCACTGCACGTGGCGGCTTTACCTACTACACCACAGTGCTGGCCCCATCACACAGACTCATTTTTAAAATGTATCTGATAAGTCATTGAAATGAATTTTTACCATGGGTTTCCCAAATTGGAGGTATCCTCTACTCTTTCAGGGACTCTTGTATCAAACATGAGGCTTATGTGCTTATCTTTCAGTTTGGGTTGCTTAATTCCCTTTAGATGTGTTTGATTCTATGTCATTCATTTTGAAATTAGGAAGAAAAAAATCTTAATATGTTCATGTGGTATTATGAGAAGGTGACTTAGAGTGCTATGATGAGATTCAAGCCATACATTGGTCTTTATCACTGTTCTCCACCATTCTGTGTCTTAGAATTTATGACAAGTGACTTTCTTAGTTCCTCACTCATAACGTTTACTATGTGCCAAAACATGGTCTAAGAATTTACATATAACTTGTAATGTGCACAGACTTTGAGGTGTAGGCACTGTTACTGTCCTCATGTTAGAAGTGGTAAACCTGTGTGTGCAACACCCATAGTCACAGGGCACCCACTTCGAGAGGATTACGTTGTTCTACCTTAATTGTGAGACAGGATCAGTTTAAATGGTGTGGCTTTGTGTGTGGCTGGAGGTAAAGGCTGTTTCACAGCGTGCTTATGGACAGCAGACTCTGTAAGTGCTTTTCCTCACCTTCCTTGGGGGCTTTTCATGTTTAATATACAGTCATCAGTACCTTTATAAAATGTTTATTAAGATGTGAAATGTTTAATAGAAATGTCATTTGTGGGCTTTTTTTTTTTTTTTTAATTAAAACTCTAAAATTTTATTCCTTCATATTAGTGGTAGGATGCCTGTGTAGTCAACAGCAGTTAGTGATGAAACCCATGGTTTGATTGACTGCGTCTGAGAGGAGAGTCCATGGGGGAGCTCGGGAACTATGGAGAAAGGCTGAACCAGGAGGGAGAATGGCTTGGGCTCGCAGTAAGACCACGGGTTCACACTTGCCCTGGTCATGGCACTCAGGTGTCCTGGGTCTTCAGGAACAGCCGTGATTGCATGGAATGTCATTGTTTGAGCAAGAATTGCTCGTGTTGAGCGTGTGGCACAGTGCTTAAGCTGCCACCTGTGGTGCTGGCATCCCTGTGAGCACCAGTTTGAGTCCTGGCTGTTGTACTTTGATCTAGCTCCCTTGGAAGGCAGTGGAAAATGGCTCAAGTACTTGGGCTCTTTTCACCCACATGGGAGATGCAGGTGGAGTTCTCGGCTCCTGGATTTGTCTTGGCCCAGCCCTCGCTGCTGCGAACATTTAGGGAGTGAAATAGCTGATGGAAGCTCTCACTCTCTCTCCCTCTTATTCTTTCAAATGAATATATGAACCTCTTTTTAAAAAACAAAGTTAAAATTGTGAAGTGTTTGGTTACATGTGATTTAAATTCTAAAAAAATTTTGGCTGCACCACAGCTCACTTAGCTAATTCTCCGCCTATGGCACCGGTACCCCGGGTTCTAGTCCCGGTTGGGGTGCCGGATTCTGTCCCGGTTGCCCCTCTTCCAGGCCAGCTCTCTGCTGTGGCCCGGGAAGGCAGTGGAGGATGGCCCAAGTGCTCGGCCTGCACCCACATGGGAGACCGGGAGGAAGCACCTGGCTCCTGGCTTCGAATCGACACAGGGCGCCGGCTGTAGCAGCCATTTGGGGGGTGAACCAATGGAAAAACGAAGACCTTTCTCTCTGTCTCTCTCTCACTGTCTAAATCTATCAAAATTTTTATTTGTTGCTCAGGCTGTAAATACTTGTGGCAGGCAGTTGTTTATTGCTGTGTTTTTTCCATACAGGAAAGGAATGCTGAAAATGCAATTGAAGCCCTTAAGGAGTATGAGCCTGAAATGGGCAAAGTGTATCGGCAGGACAGAAAGAGTGTACAGCGCATTAAAGCTAAAGACATCGTTCCTGGTGATATTGTAGAAATCGCAGGTAAGTTGAGTTTGTAATTTTTCTTTTATTCTAGGTAGTGTTGTGAATGCAGTCCTCATCACAAGGCTTAGAATTATGTTTAAAATGATCACCTTCATGTATTACTTGTGTTAACACATGTTATTACTATCCAAATAAATCTTGTTTCCTCTAAGATTATTTCAAACTGAGTGTTTCTTACTGTTGATAAAGTTTTGTTTGTAAACAAGATATTTTGAATGATTATGCTTACTAGTTGAGATAAACTGTCTAACTCAAGTGCTGGAGAGGTAAAACTTGATGTCTGGTTGTGGTGAGCAGTTTGCTATGACACTGGTTATTGACTATTCAGGCTTTTGTTCTTGACATAAATAGGAAGTTTCATTTGTCATTCTCAGATTGAATTGATGGTTATATAATTCTTGAGTGAGGTGTTTGGCTATTGGATTTTTTAAATCTTGATTTTGGCATAATTTCAAAATTAAAAATCGCAATAATTGAGGCGGACATCTAGCCTGGCAGTTACAATGCCGGAGTCCCATTTTGGGAGCACACAGGTTTGATGCCTGGCTTCAGTTCCTCATTCTAGCTTTCATTCTTTTTTTTTTCCCCTACATTTATTATTTGAAAGGCTGAGTTACACAGAGAAGGAGACACAGAGATCTTCGATCTGCTGGTTCACTCCCCAAATGGCCACAATGGCCAGGACTGGGCCAGCCAGGAGCTTCTTACGGGTCTTCCATGTGGGTACACGTACCCCATTTTCTGCTTTCCCAGGCATGTTAGCAGGGAGCTGGTTAAGAAGTAGAGCAGCCAGGACTCAAACCAGCACCCATATGGGATGCTGGCATTGCAGACAGCGGCCTTACTTGCTACACAACGCTGGATCCCTGTCTTCTTTCTGACACCCCAGGAGACAGTGATGATGACTCGGTGCAGTGGGTCTCTGCCCACCTGCACAGGAGACTCGGATTGAGTTCCCAGCTTCCACACCTCTGTCCCTGGCCTAAGTGAACAAATGGATGGGAGTTCGCACTGCCTCTCAAGTAAATAAATAAAAACAAACACTTTTTAAAAAAAAAAAGATTGTGGTAAGATTTCTAGTTGAGGTGCGTTGTTGTGATGGTACTAGTAACTACGGAAGGAAGCAACAGGAAGACACTTTGACTTCTCTACAAATACGAAGGTTGTTTTTTTTTCCCGATTTATTTTGGGCTGGCACCCCGGTTCTAGTCCCGGTTGGGGTGCCGGGTACTAGTCCCGGCTATTCCTCTTCCAGTCCAGCTCTCTGCTGTGGCCCGGGAAGGCAGTGGAGCATGGCCCAAGTGCTTGGGCCCTGCACCCGCATGGGAGACCAGGAGGAAGCACCTGGCTCCTGGATTCAGATCGGCGCAGCGCCAGCCATAGCGGCCATTTGGGGAGTGAACCAACGGAAGGAAGACCTTTCTCTGTCTCTCTCTCACTGCCTATAACTCTGTTTCTGTCTCTCTCATTGTCTAACTTGGCCTGGCAAAAATAAATAGATCTTTTTAAAAATGATTTATTTTATTATATTTGAAAGAGTTACAGAAAGAGGCACAGAGAGAGGTCTACAATGTGCTGGTTCACTCCCCAGATGGCCACAACGGCCAGAGCTGTGCTGATCCTGAGCAAGAAGCTTCTTCTGGGTCTCCCACGCGGGTGCAGGGACCCAAGCACTTGGGCCATCTTGTACTGCTTTCCTAGGCCACAGCAGAGAGCTGTATCAGAAGTGGAGCAGCTGGGACTAGAACCAGCGCCCATTTGGGATGCCGGTGTCGCAGGCTGGGGCTTTAACCCACTGTGCCGCAGTGCCGGCCCCAAATAGGAAGCTTCTTCAAAAAGTTGTGGGAAAAGAGGAATTAAAGGGAATATGCGGCCGGTGCCGCGGCTCACTAGGCTAATCCTCCACCTTGCGGCGCCGGCACACCGGGTTCTAGTCCCGGTCAGGGCACCGGATTCTGTCCCGGTTGCCCCTCTTCCAGGCCAGCTCTCTGCTGTGGCCCGGGAGTGCAGTGGAGGATGGCCCAAGTGCTTGGGCCCTGCACCCCATGGGAGACCAGGATAAGTACCTGGCTCCTGGCTTCAGATCAGCGTGGTGCGCTGGCCATAGCGCGCTGGCCGCAGCGGCCATTGGAGGGTGAACCAACGGCAAAAAGGAAGACCTTTCTCTGTCTCCCTCTCTCTCACTGTCCACTCTGTCAAAAAAAAAAAAAATATGCATTTTCTAATAACTCTGTGAAAGACCCTGTGTATACCTGTGGAAGGTGGGGTTACAGATAAAAGTGACTTTGTGTTTACCGTTTCTCCAGCTTAGTTAGGTATTATATTCTTTAGCTTCTCAAGAATATTTTGAGCATTTTTATGCTAGTTGGGATATTTAATATATTGAGTCTACTTGAAAACTTAGAGAAATTATCTCCAAAGTGTTTATCCTACGTTTTCATTAGTAAGTGGCTGTAAAAAAACCAGTTAGTGGAAAGGTAATCTTGAGACCTCAAGGCATCTTCCCTTTAGAAGAAGTAAATTAATGCCAGCTTCTCTTTAATTTGAAAGGCAGAGTGTTATAGAGACAGCGAGAGGTAGAAAGACCTTCCATCTACTGGTTCACTCCCCAAATGGTTTCAGCACCCAGGGTTGCAAGGACTTGGGCCTTCTGCTGCTGTTTCCTGAGTGCTGGATCAGAAGTGGAGCAGCCGGGACTCAAACTGACACCCTTATGGGATGCCATCATTGCAGGCAGCGACTTAACCTGTTCAACCACAATGCCACCCTTTGTGGATTTTGATTTTTACCAGTCTTTTCCATCTTCTGAGGTCTTACTAACCACTCAGTTAACTGAGAGAAACTTGAGAATCATCTTGGTTTTTTCCTTTCTTATCCAGTCATTCAGTTTTCAACACCACCAAACTTTCCTCATTTTGGAAGATTGCAGATTTTGCAGAGCTTAAGTTGTGCGGTGCACATATTTCACACTGGCAAAGCTTTAGTTGTAACCCTGATCTCCCAACTTTATTCTGCTCTGAAATTCCACTCCTTGTATTGTGTAGTTTGGTGTGGGAAGGACAAATAATGGCTGACCAATAGCATATTCTTGGAATCTACCTTATTTATTTTCTTCTTCCCCAACTGAAACAGGGACTACTTATTTCCTCTTTCCTTGGCCTTTGGTAGCCATTCCCTTTCTTTTAGTAGTCAAAAACAATGAGTTGATGGCTTTTAAAAAGATGAATTTAAATCCCTTTGCCCTCATCTTATGTGATGATGCTACCACTCGTAAGCAGTACACACACACACACACTTAAATCTGCTTCTCTTCTATTTCTGATTCCTTCATGGAAAGTGCTGGCGTCTTGCTGGAAGTATATGCAGGGCTTTGACATGCAGCTCTTCTTTGTTATCCTTTATTTATTTATTTATTTATTTTAAAGATTTATTTGTTTGAAAGGTAGAGCTAGTGCTGTGGCTCACTAGGCTAATCCTCTGCCTGCGGCACCAGCACCCCAGGTTCTAATTCCGGTTGGGGAGCCGGATTCTGTCCCGGTTGCTCCTCTTCCAGTCTAGCTCTCTGCTGTGGCCCGGGAAGGCAGTGGAGGATGGCCCAAGTGCTTGGGCCCTGCACCCGCATGGGAGACCAGGAGGAAACACCTGGCTCCTGGCTTCGGATTGGTGCAGTGTGCCGGCCGTGGCAGCCATTTGGGGGGTGAACCAATGGAAAGGAAGACTTTTCTCTGTCTCTGTCTCTGTCTCTCTCTCTCTCTCTCTCTCACTGTCTAACTCTGCCTGTCAAAAAAAAAAAAGAAAAAAAGAAAAGAAAGAAAGAAAAAGAAAGGCAGAGTTAGAGAGGCAGAGAGAGGTCTTCCATCTACTGGTTCACTCCCCAAATGGCTGCAACGGCTGGAGCTGCGCCGATACAAAGCCAGGAGCCAAGAGATGCTCTGTGTCTCCCACGTGGGTGCAGGGGCCCAAGGTCTTGGGCCATCTTCTACTCATTTCCCAGGCCATAGCAGAGAGCTGGATCAGCTGGGATGTGCACCGGCACCCATATGGGATGCCGGCAGTGCAGGTGGCAGCTTTATTCACTATACCACAGTACTGGCCCCTATTCTTGAATTTCCACCATTCCAGCTGAGCAATGTGTAACAGAAGTTATAATCTAGTTGTAGATAGATGCAGATATTTTATTAAATACTCATAATTCCACTAGACAGTGAGCCCTGTTAAGAGCAGAAATGTGCCACATTAGCTGTTAGAACTCTTACCGGGCCAGCGCCGTGGCTCACTAGCTTGATCCTCCACCTGCGGCGCCAGCACCCTGGGTTCTGGTCCCGGTTGGGGCACCGGATTCTGTCCCAGTTGCTCCTCTTCCAGCCCAGCTCTCTGCTGAGGCCCGGGAGTGCAGTGGAGGATGGCCCAAGTGCTCGGGCCCTGCACCCGCATGGGAGACCAGGAGGAAGCGCCTGGCTCCTGGCTTCGGATCAGCTCAGTGTGCCAGCTGCAGCGTGCTGACAGAGCGGCCATTGGGGGGGTGAACCAACAGAGAGGGAGGACCTTTCTCTCTGTCTCTCTCACTGTCCACTCTGCCTGTCAAAAAAAAAAAAAAAAAAAAAGAACTCTTACCAAGCATGTTAGTTCTCCGTGAGGTGCAGGAGTTAGGTGCAGCAGTTAAGATGCTCACAACCTGGTTCAAGTCCTGGCTCCACTTCTAATCCAGTTTCCTGCTGATGTGCACCCTCATGGGAGATCCAGACTGAGTTAATTTAGGCTTTTGGTTTTGTCCTGGCCTAGCCCTGGCTGTTGTAGGCATTTGGGTAAGGAGTCTGTAGATGAAAAAATCTCTCCCTGCCTTTCAAATAAGTAAAAAATTGTAATAGATTTATTTGAAAGGCAGAGTTACAGAGAGAGGGAGGAAGAGAGGTCCTTCACCCTGGTTCACTCCCCAGGTGGCAGTAATGGCCTGACAGCCAAAGCTCGGAGCCGTGGCTTCATCTGGTCTCCCATGT